TGAGTCACCCTTGTTACATGTATCCGGTGTGACCTTAATGAATACAGATTCTGTTATTAGTCTTTTTTTCCATTTGTTCATATTAGTTTTCAGAATACAAACATTGTTGCAAACAATATTGTGGCTTTTGCCCGTTGCATATGCAGCTAGCTATAGACGATTTTTTTTCTAAATTGTTGTAAGCTTGTGTTCCTGTGAGATGAAGTTTAGTTAGGTGTTCATGTTCATTCACTCTTATTTTGAGTGATCTGGACGTTTGACATATTTAGTCGGACACTCGCCACAAGATATTTTGTAAATTACATTATTTTTATCCATCATTTTTATTGGATCTTTCAGTTGATTTATCTTATTTTAAATTAGATTCTCCGGTTTAAACGTGGTTCGAATCCCAATAATTTGAGGTTTCTTCGAATTGCCTCTGATGCACCATTTTTGGAAAGCAGAAAGATTGAGCGAAGAAATATTTACTTTTCAATTAGATCCTCATCTCTGGCTCTACTCTAATATATATAGCATTTTTTACAATGCACAACAATTTACCAAACAAGTGGTGATATGTTTGTTAACAATAATTAAACAGTGTCAAAATGTCAATGGGTTGATAATTAACGAAGAAAATCAATACACACAATCAGAAAGGTAGAAATGGATAGAATAAATTAAGTTTACAAGAATAACACGTAATTAAAGATGAAGTGGTCAAAATAAAATTAAAATAATTTGGGCAATTATAATTTAATAGGTTTAGGGGGAGGGGGCGACTTAGTCCTGTCTTGTAACGATGGCCACGGTAAGGAAAGTGGCTGTACAAATTTCTTCTGTACACATAGGCTTGGTTTCTTCTGGTGGATTCCGATTGCTTCAGCTGTCTGTAGAAGCGAACTCGTAGAGCAAAGTTAAGATTAGTCGGAATGCGATAAATAATTTTAAATGCAGTATTCACATCAACCTTATGCTCAGTATCAACAAGGTGTGCTAAAATAGAACTACGAATAGATCTTGTTTGTCCCTTGCTTAACCACGCTGGATGATGTTCAGAAATACGACGATGAAAGTGCCTAATTGTACGCCCAATGTAGCTGGCTCCGCTGCTGCAGTCAAACTGGTAGACACACCATTTTTGTATGGTATTGTAACTGTGTTTTGCCTTCCTTCTTCTTATCATTCTCCGGCTTTACTCTCTTTTTATATTATCTCTGATAAATTCTTTTGAGTAGTTGTTGTCGATTAACATTTTGAATAAGACGTTTCATTTCTTTTCGCCAGTCATTTTGTGTTGTTGTAAGTCTACATATTCTATCTGCGAGACCTTGTATTAACCCTCGTTTTACCGTGAGTGGATGAGCTGAGTGATAATCAAGGAATCTCTCAGAATGTGTAGTTTTTCTATATAGCGTCGTTTTTATGCTGCCATCTGTTACTCTGTACTTCGCAGTCTAACATAGGCATTTCCCCAATTTCATTCTCTATTTCCATAATGAATTTTATTGAGTCTTCATAACTTAAACAGTAATGTGTGTGAGACGAATTTCTCAACATCATTCCTTTTCATTATTACTAACGTGTCGTCTACATATCTCCATCAAAATTTTATTGATGACCTGAATGGTTTAAGTGCATTGTTTTACCAAAAGTCCATGAATATGTCAGCTATTATCAGTGAGATGGACGATCCCATGGCTACTCCTTCATTTTGTTGGCATATTTTTCCTTCAAATGTGAAATATGTTGTTTCTAGACAGAATTCTTTTATTATCTCTTCTACGGATAACTGAGTCCTGTCTTATAGACAGGCCATCATCTTCTTTTAGTCTCTTTTTCAGTGCCTCCATGGCTATTTGAATGGGTATTTTAGTATAGAGACTATTAACATCAAAGCCGACTAGCATTTCCTCTTCGTCTGTTTTGGTGTCTTTTAGTCGTCTCACTAATTCAAATGAATCTACTATTCTAGCTTTGAACTGTGCTTATTGGTCTTAGTATTGTTGAGAGAAATCTTGACAGCATATACGTTGGTGTGTTTCTAAAATCGAAAATCGGTCTTATCGGATACCCTTCTTTATGCAGTTGTATCTTGCCATATATTCTAGGCATATTACGTGATTTCGGTATAATTTCAGACTTTGACTTACCAATTGCTTCTTTCATCTGTCTAACTACCTTTGCTGTTTCTTTCTTTCATTGTTTCGTTTGTGATTATATCTGATGATTTGGTCATTAGGGTATAGGGTCCAGATTGTAGATGCTCATTCATCTTTTCCGTATATGTTGTTTTGTTAAGTATTACTGTTGTGTTTCCTTTGTCTGCTCGAGTGATGACAATGGATCTGTCTACTTTTATATCTTGAAGTGCTTTTAGTTCTCCTTCGTTACATTTAGTTTATCTGCCTTTTGTTTCTTAAAAGTTAAGGCACATTGTGCCCGTACCAGCTCTGCTTTTTGTTTGTCATGTGCTTCTAGTGCTGTATCAACCATCGGTATATCTTCAGGTTTTAATCTTTTGTTACTAATATTAAAGTTCATCCCTTTCATCAGTACGCTTTCCTCTGATTCTGTTAGCCTTCTGTCTGACATGTTTACGATCCAATTGGTTTTAGTTACTTGTATGTCATTCATGCTTTTTGCGACCATGAGTTTATTACGTCTATTGATTTCTTTCTTCATAGGTAGTTTCTTTTCGTTTTAGTGCAACTTCTAGTACGCTTTCATACCTTTTCTTCTCAATCGCTCGTTTCAAATTTTCGTTTGCTTCATTGATATCTTTCCTTACTGTAAATAACTTTCGCATAATACCATGTAGCTTTTCTTTGATGTATATTTCTAAGGCATATATGAGAGTTGCATCTGCTGTATCAGTGGATGTAGGTGACTTTTATCTCATATACATAGGAATAATTCCATTTATTACCCATTTGATATTGAAAATTCGACATTAATTCTACTTATGGTCTTCCCATTAAAAGACTGGCCAACAAACTCACACATTTATATCAAGCTGAATCTCGATGCATAAACCATCGCAATTTCAATATCGAATACCTAAAAATAATGTAATTTACAAAATATCTTGTGGCGAGTGTCCGACTAAATATGTCAAACGTCCAGATCACTCAAAATAAGAGTGAATGAACATGAACACCTAACTAAACTTCATCTCACAGGAACACAAGCTTACAACAATTTAGAAAAAAAATCGTCTATAGCTAGCTGCATATGCAACGGGCAAAAGCCACAATATTGTTTGCAACAATGTTTGTATTCTGAAAACTAATATGAACAAATGGAAAAAAAGACTAATAACAGAATCTGTATTCATTAAGGTCACACCGGATACATGTAACAAGGGTGACTCAGGACAACTGTCATCAACCTGGACTATAATTATGGATGCACAAAACTGAATGGATAAGAAAAGAACTATATATAATTAAATATATTTGAGTACAAATCATAAATGTGTGAATTGAAAACAAAACAATTCCAACAGTTAGTGTGACTACGGGCAGTAATTTTGCTCGAAATATTACCAAAAATAAAAACTTATCATTGTGTGTGAACTGCTGAAATATAATCATAAGTTATTTAATCTATTTCACAGAGCTCAAACTTCTTACTGACACTAAGAATGATCTCACTCACCTTTCGAAAATAAGATTGAGGTAGCATTTTAGAAGCAAGAGGATGGTAGGAATACAATTCCGTTCGGAAACAGAAGCAAAACGTCTTTATCTCACAACAATAATCTTTCAAACTTATAAAGCCAGAAAAGGTTTAAAATATTAAATGCTGGATGTTGACTAAGCACCACTCCGGAGGGTTTTTAATTACTTATCGTTATTATAAGCCATGTGGACGAGTTATGAAAAGCTGCTCTTTGCAAGATAGAATAAAGCACGCTATTCAAGAATAACTAGAGTTCACCTTAAAAATTTGGTTACATCTTTTTAAATCTTCCAATAGCTGAAACTGGTTTCTCGAAACAAGCCAACACTACATCTGACTCATTGAAGTCTATTGAGCTGGAATCTGTCTGATTTCAGCAATCAGCGGCTATCATCAGCTGTCACACACTTGGTGTAATTCGTTCACAGCTGCATGGAAGCAGATTTATTGGGTAACATAATTTTATATTAGAATATTAATTGTGTGGGGTTGTCTATTTATCCATATGATTTTAATTAAAATGACGTGACTTCATATAATTACTGTGACTTATTCAGACACTGTTTGGATATTGTAATCATCAAAAGAATGCACTCTCTTTGGCGAAAACAGGCTTTTGACATACTGCACTATGAATCATACATATATATTATACGAGGGTGGTGGGTGGTGCTACCCAGTTGCTCAGGTGGCAATATACGGATCAAAGCAGAAACTTTGAAATCATTAGCTGAAAACCGACTGCTTTCTTATTTTGAACATAAAGGACCCAACTTATTAGATATTTCACTCATCTTGTATTAGTTGATTACAAAAATTAGCTTAGGGAAAATTAAGCGATAAGTAAAAAAATAAAATAATCTAGTCAGATACGCAATAGCCATACTGACATCGTCAAGAAGTGAACGTTTTCATCTCCTATTAAGCTGTTCATTCATGCTTATAGTTGCTCACAAATGAATTAGGCAACATTATATACCACCATCAATGCACACTATAAAGTAATCAGGAGAATATGTAAATACTCACTCCACTAACGAATCGATTAATCGGTCTTCTATGTAAGAATCACTATAAGCTAATCATTCGTTGAAAATCAATCAAGTAGGAATAAGTAAACGTAGCACATGAAAATATATATTAATTAATTCGATTGTGTGTACAATCTCGTCGTTTTATAAGACGCAAAAAAGAAAGAATGTCATAATTACAGTGAACATAAAAGTCACAATAACATGAAAAAGATATGTACAAGATGTACGCAAAATATGTCCCAGACAGATTCTGTCCTTCTGAAAGACAAGCGAAAATATCTGTGCATAAATGGACTATTATCAACTTCTAAATAAACGAAACAGTGGATATCTTTCTTTCAGTTTTTCTTTACGAGCAGCTGATGAACTAGTATCCACGTATATAGCATCGTCTGCTCCTGATAAGCTGGACATTTTATTTGGTTTACGAATAACACTTGATGGGCCTACACGACTGTTTAAAAAGCCCAAGCCATCAGGATCAGTTGGCAGTTTCTCTTCCATTGCATCCTCATCGGTACTAGCTAGTACACGATGCAACAACTCTGCTTGTTCTTGTTTTCTACTCAACTTTAAGGATTCATTTTCCATTCCAGCTAATGTGGTTATTACCAAAAAAGGTGAGAGAGAAAAAATGATATTATTTCAATCAGTCAATGGGAGATCATTTTTATTGATAAAAAAAATATACAAAAACTTCAAGAGTTTTCATAGACTCACACACTCCTCAAAATGTTAGTTAAGGGAGTAGTGATTAAAATGGAAAATAAAACTCACGCTATTGTACAATTTGCATTCAAGATTCCTGGTGACTCAACAACACTCAACCGATCGGGTCATTAGTTATTACTAAAGACAGGTCTGGCTTTAGCGCAACTAACAGTTCTAACTAGCCAGCATTCAACTGAGTGATATATAAGTTCGTGTTAACAATCATCACCATAAGTCTTCAAAAAGATCTTTCCAGTAAAATTTCAGGGGAGTAAGCATCACATTAAGAGACAAGCAAGCTAGTAAAGTGTGTTTTAAAAGAAGTCATGATCAACCCATCCCATTGGGTAAACGCTATTTCACGCATATATATATATATACATATTGAAAGTGAAGTTGAAATAAAACCCAAATATTCGAACAAGCCACTTTAGAATTTACAAGACCCAATCATATCAAGCCGGTGAAAGATGTCAACGGAAAGTCACTCACCAAAGAAGTGGAGCAAAGGAAACACTGGGCTGAACACTTCAAAAGACTCCTAAATCGACCACCACCTACAACGCGCCCAGCAATACCAACAACGGAGACAGAGCTACCAGTGAACACCAACCCCCCCGACGAAATCAGAAGTCCTGAAGGCAATCAAGATGCTAAAAGCTGGAAAAGCAGCAGGACCAGATGGAACCCCAGCAGAAGCGTTGAAAATGGACCCAGAGACAACAGCGGACTTGATGACGCCACTACTGGAGAAGGTGTGGAAAGAAGGCAAAGTACCTGAAGATTGGAAGAAAGGATACTTCTTCAAACTACCAAAGAAAGGAGACCTAAGTCAATGCAAGAACTGGCGCGGAATTATGCTCCTGTCCATCCCAAGCAAAATACTAAGCCGCATCATCCTGGAAAGGATCAAACACGCCCTGGATGAAAAACTTCGACCGGAACAAGCTGGATTCAGGAGAAACAAGTCATGCATTGATCAGATCGCCACATTACGGATCATCATTGAACAAAGCTTGGAATGGCAGTCAGCTCTCAATCTCAACTTCATCGACTTTGAAAAGGCCTTCGACAGCGTCGATCGAGAGGTGATTTGAAAACTACTTCACTACTACGGGGTGCCACCGACAATTATACATCTCATCCAACAGCTGTACGACAATGCTGCATGCCAAGTAATCCACAACGGGAAACTCACGGAATCCTTCGAAGTGAATACGGGAGTAAGACAAGCTGGCTGCCTACTATCGCTAATGATTTTCCTGATTGCAGTAGACTGGATAATGCGACAGACAGCGGGCAATGAGGAAACAGGCATAAAATGGACTCACACAGAAAACTTGGAGGATCTGGACTTCGCCGATGATATATGTCTGATTTCCAACAAACTGGAAGATATGCAAGCGAAAAGCAACAAGTTGGCAGAAGAAGCATCCAAAGAAGATAGGACTTCAGGTGAACATGGAGAAGACAGAGGTGATGAAGATTCCTGGACAAGAACAACAACAACAGACAACAATCAGCATAAATGGGAGGAACCTGAAAGAAACAACGTCTTTTACCTAACTGGGAAGCATCGTTTCAATTGCAGGCGGAACTGACTAGGATATCAAAGCAAGAATCGGAAAAGCAAGACAAGCTTTCACTACTCTCAAGTCTGTGTGGAGGTCAACAACTCTCAGCATCAAAAATAAGATCCGGATTTTCAACTCCAATGTGAAGTCAGTGCTACTATACGGATCAGAGACTTGCACTGCGCGTCATAAAGAGCATCGCAAACAAACTACAGACCTTCATTAACAGTTGTCTTCGCTCAATACTCAAGATCAGATGGCCAGAAAAGATTAGCAACAGGGAGAGATCTCTGGGAGCGAACCAACACAGCAGGAACCGATTGTGAAACAAATAGGCAGGAAGAAATGGAGATGGATTGGCCATACTCTCAGGAAGCCATCAAGTGACATCACTAGACAAGCCCTCGAGTGGAACCCGAAAGGGAAGCGGTGAGTTGGTCGTCAGTGCAAGGGTGACTTGGAGGAGGTCATGTGAAGAAAAGATGAAAACGTGTGGGCAGACATGGAGCCAGGTGAAGACTCTAGCAGAGAACCGAACTCAATGGAGACGCACGGCTGAAGCCCTATGTTCCTCTAGGAATTAAAAGAAAACAATAATAATAATAAATAATAATCATATGGAATAACTTAGTTATATTGCAATCCAGTAGAACACAGATCAAATTTTCGCACAAGACAAATGCTCTATCACTCTACTCAACTTCTTCCAGTTGAGTTGTTCAGGTGGAATAATGTGTTCAATGATGCAACAAATAAAATTAACGGGTAATCACGTAAAAGTGTATACGTATAGTCAAATATGCTACTACAGAGTCATAAACTATAGTAAATCTTCATTTCGTATAAGTATATATATATATATATATATATATATATATATATAATGTATATATTGACAGTAACATCGAACAAGAAAGGTCATTCAATCAACATAGAAAAATTACTCACACTGGACATGTTGAACACAGTTAAACAATAGTAAGAAAAATAAATTACTGTCGTAAAACAAACATACACCTCGCCTAGATTACTAGGTCACTAGTATTCTAGCCGGTCCCAAGCCCGGATAAAGAGGGAGGGTTGGGGTGTGGTGCTAGCAACTCCACCCCCAAAACTTAACCAAATTGCTACGAAAACTTCAACGCACAAATATATTCAAAATTCTAAAAATACAAACAATAACCTTATTTTTCGCTGGAATCGGGGAAGTGAAATGACGCAGGCTGGTGAAAGCCTTCGGGAAGCCAGTCAGCCGATGTGCCTTCTTTCGATGAAAGCAAAAATAAGGCTGGGGACGTGGAATATTCGTACAATGTACGAAGCTGGGAAGGCTGCTCAGGTAGCCGCAGAAATGAGGAGATATAAAATAGAAGTGTTAGGAATCTGCGAGAGCAGATGGAACGGATGTGGAAGGAGCCAACTGTCAACTGGAGAGACAATAATCTACTCCGGTCACCCAGAGGACAATCACGAGCACACCGAGGGAGTAGCCATCATGATGTCACCAACAACAGCCAAAGCTCTCATGCAGTGGGAACCAATCTCCTCCAGGATAATGACAGCCAGGTTCAACTCAAAAGGAAAAAAGGTTACAATCATTCAATGCTACGCGCCTACAAACGTCTCAGAACATGAGAAGAAGGAGGATTTCTACAGTCAACTACAAACAGTAATGGACAACGTCCCAAAGAGCGATATCAAAATCCTGATGGGTGACATGAATGCGAAACTGGGAGGAGACAATACAGGATGAGAACTCACCATGGGTCGTGAGGCCCTCGGTGAAATGAACGAAAATGGTGAACTCTTCTCAGACTTCTGCGCCTTCAATGATTTGGTGATTGGTGGCAGTGTGTTCAAACACAGGGATATACACAAGGCAACATGGATTTCACCAGATGGACACACCAAAAACCAGATAGACTTCATTTCAATCTCAAGGAAGTGGAGATGGAGCCTACTGGACACAAAGTCGAGGAGAGGAGCAGATGTGGGTTCAGACCACTATCTAGTACAAGGGACTTTCAAGGTGAAGCTAAAAGCCTCGAGGATACCTGGGGATAGGCCACAATGCAAGTTCAACACGCAAAAACTGAAGGACACAATCACACAGGACATTTTCACTGCAGCTGTCAGAGCAAGGCAGGAAACACTACGTGGCACCACTGAGGAATCATCCGTGGAAGACCACTGGAACTCTCTGAAGGTAATTTTCAACGAAACGTGCTCAACGGTTTTAGGAAGAAAGAAGAAACAAGACAAGGAATGGCTCTCAACGGACACTTGGAAGCTAATAGAGGAGAGGAGAAAGGTGAAAGAAAAAATGATTCAATGCAAAGATGGACAAGAGAAAGAGACGCTGACCTCAACTTACACAGCACTGGACAAAGAAGTGAAGAAGAGTGCCAGGAAGGACAAAAGACAATTCTACGACAACCTGGCTACTGAAGCTGAGAAGGCAGCAGGCAAAAGGGACCTGAGGACACTATATCAGATAACCAAGTCTCTATCCGGGAAGAGATCAACACAAGTGAAACCTATAAAAGACAGCCAAGGGAACCCAATTACCAAGGAAGCAAGACAGATTAAACAATGGGCGGACCACTTCAAAGGACTCTTGAACCGACCACCACCTACAACCCGTCCAGTAATACCAACAACAGCACGTACACAACTGCAAGTTGACACCAATCCTCCAACGAAAACTGAAGTCATGAATACAATCAAGCTTCTGAAAGCTGGAAAATCAGCTGGACCAGATGGAATACCCCCGGGAGCAATGAAAGCGGACCCAGAAATGACAGCAGATATGCTGACTCCATTATTGCAAAAGATCTGGAAAGAGGGAAAGGTGCCTACTGACTGGAGGAAAGGTTACCTGGTGAAACTACCAAAGAAGGGCGACCTGGGACTCTGCAAGAACTGGCGAGGAATCATGCTCCTGTCGACGCCAAGTAAAATCCTGAGTCGCATCATCCTGGAGAGAATCAAGGACGCACTGAATACAGAACTCCGACCAGAACAAGCTGGATTCAGGAAAGGCAAATCATCTTCTGACCAAATTGCAACTCTACGCATCATCATCGAACAAAGCATGGAATGGCAATCAAACCTCTACCTCAACTTCATAGACTTTGAGAAGGCCTTCGACAGCGTTGACCGCGAAGTAATTTGGAAACTACTCGAGTCCTACGGCGTACCCCAAATATTCATCAACCTTATTCAACAGCTGTACGACAACGGCACATGTCAAGTGATCCACAACGGAAAATTCAGCGAGGCGTTTGGAGTAAACACAGGAGTCAGACAAG